CTGAGAAATCTATGCTAAACTAAAATATATTTATATATCTTTCTTTAATTTGTATAAAGTGGAAAATACTGTTAATTGTTGTAATCAAGCGAATATTTGACATGTACCTAATTAAGCAAAGTATTTTTATATATTTATATTATTTTTGTAAATATATGATATTGGTATATATATATATATATATATATATATATATATATATATATATATATATATATATATATATCAGCCCTTTTTAACGTCCCACTGCTGGGCACGGGCCTCCCTTCAGTACGAGGGGCAATTTTCATTTATTATATATCTATATTATATTTCAGTATAATTTTTCATATTATATTAATTTCTTTAATATTAATATCTTACAGTAAGCTATTTCCTATGACTGATGGTTGCTTGATAAGAAATTGCTGTTTTAAAGATAAGGAAGCTTGTACTTTCTCTATTTATATATTTTGTTAGTACGTGTACATCTAGTACAGTAAAAAGTTATAATAATTATAACTAAGCTGGAATAACACAGGCTTATACAAAAGTTCGCTGAGTTTCTTTTAGCAGTTCTTTTTAGGACTTAGGTATTTTCTTTCGACTTGCTGGTAAAGTATTTCTAATACCAATATTGAAAAATGATTTCTGATTTTTAACTTCCGTTAGTACCTAATCCTTTTGCGGATAAGAATCATGTATCACTATCTATATCTTTATAAATTATAGCCTATAGCTATATATAATGCAAAGTTTCATCAAAATCTGTTTTGTAATTTTTGCGTGAAAAAGTTTCAAATATATGTATTACTAGAGACTCACCCTCGCTTCGGTCGGGTTCGTCCCTAGCTTGCTTCCCAATACAAACCTTCATCCCCATTTTCACGCCCTTAAAGAATAATTTCCGGAATAAATATCGAAAATATCGTATCCTATGTCCTTTCCAGGGTCACAAACTATCTTCTTACCCAATTTCATCTAAATCGGTTCAGTAGATGCAGAGATTACCCCCCTACAACTGACAAACTCACAAACTTCTCTTTCCTATTATATTATATATTACTCCTATATATTGTACCTCTTTATAATATTAGCATACAATCATATATCCACACATTAGCAGGTATTTATGTATTAAATTATTTTAATAGTATTATTAATTTAATATGTATGGTATTTAAATTGTAGGTATGAACTAAGCGCATTTCGCATAAAAATATATGTAAGCAGTATTTTATCCTTAACGCAGCTCCTATATATGATGATGTTCTCCTAGCCGATTCCGGCTACGGCGGCCAATCTCATTGAGACTAGCCAACTGCGCAGGAGATATTATAGTGCACAAGTGTACGCGCAGACACAACGTGCACTCTCTATGCCTATCACTCTCATACTCCGGTGGGACGACCACTCGATACGACCGGTGAGAGTTAAGGCGCAGGACCGACGGCTTTACGTGCTCTCCGAGGCACGGGGGTGAAACACCGCCAACTTCCCAACTCCGGGCTGTTACTGAGACTTACTATACAGAAATACTCAATAACTAAACTTGGCCCGACCCGGGACTCGAACCCAGGACCTCCGGATGTGCAGCCGTACATGCTAGCCACTACACCACCGAGGCATAATTCCTATATATAATTCACGTATTGAATAATTTATTTACATGAAAATAATCGATATAATCTATGAGAACGTAACTTATGTATGACATAATCATTAATTCACATTAATTTCTTCTGTCAGCTGTACGGTTTTTGTTTATTTTTTACAAAATCGACAGCTCATCATGATGGGTATCATTAGGTACTAAAATATATTATTATTTAAACAAAAGCCAACATTTGATTTACCTTATGTACTTTTAATATAATAATACAAGTACATATATAATTAAAAAAAATCATACTAATATTATAAATGTAAAAGTGTGTTTGTCTGTTTGTCCTTCTTTCACGTCAAAACGGAGTGACGGATTGGCTTGATTTTATGTGTGGAGATAGTTGATAGGCTTGAAGATACTTTTTACCGCGAGAGATTATCTAATTCCCACGAGAAAACACGTTATAATACACTCCAAAAAAAAATGAGAATTACTTGAAACTTGGTATTAATTGAACAAAATTAAATAGATACGTCTTTTAGCATTTTTCTAAATTCATCGTATAAGGAGGTAAAACTGTTATTTAAAGTGAAAAATGATGAAAGTAACCTAAAAATGATTTTTAAATACCTATTCAACGACATCCCACTTGACATATTTCGTCGATTTTCTTTTTTTTATCTTTCACATTATGGAATCTAGCAGCCCCCATATTTAATTTTTTTATGTCACTTATTTAAGAACACTTGGACTAATGAGACAAATCTAATAATACCTTAATTAAAGAAATCCATCGAGAGGTTTGGAAGATATGAGGGAATAAAGAATATTACAAACAAACATGCGAAAAGCATAAAACTTTCCTTGCAGTCGGGTAAAAAGACTATATTATAATCCATACATATAACGAAATTCTGAGTCGTATCTGTACATTAAATATTTTTTGGAAAATCTTATTGAAATAGTCAATATTATCGATACAGAGACCGAATCTACAGTTTTTAGAATTTTCGTCTGTCTGTATGTGTGTCTGTCTGTTTGTCCGTTTGTTTGTCTGTCACGAGAAACACACATGTACAGAATTTGATGAAATTTGGTAGGATGATGGCTGGTTATATGGGTCAACATATAGGATACTTTTTACTGCGCGAAAAATCTCTTCTTTGAGAAATCTATACCTACTAAACGTCAAAACGTACGAATCGCTGGTTAATACTAATATTAATATACATATATTATTAATAGACAGGTACTTTAGTTGATTTTAAATTGAAAGCATTAAAACGTCAATAATATATTTAAAAATGTAAATATTAAAATATTATTATTAGCTTATATATAAACTAGAAGTTCAGGTCATCCTAAGGTCATGTTTCGATTCTTATCATATTCATTTATTAACTTCTTTTTTCACTAAGGATCTATACACACTGCGTTCTAAAAACGCGCCGAATCGATAATAATACGTAACAAACGCGTCGACAGCGCATTAAAAATCTTTGTTTGCATAGTTACATAGATGGAAAACGTGATTATAGATTTTGAATCACAGAGACCGGTCCGAAATAAATTATAAAATATTGCATTAAGGAATAAATTAATTGCATTATTTTTTATAATATATGCAGGATAAAGGTCAAAATGTTTTTGGTATTTTTGTCTACCGAATAACTTTACAGGTATCAAAAAACGTAAAAACAAAATAATATGTTTATATCCAAGAAACATGAACGTATCCTACTATCCTACTTATATTATAAATGCGAAAGATTGTGAGGATGTATGGGTGTATGGATGTTTGTTACTCTGTCATGCAAAAATTACTGAATGGAATTAAATGAAATTTTATAATAATAACCAATACATCTATACGTCCTCACAAATTTTGCATTTATAATATTAGTATAGATTACCTCTCTTTGTTGGTTATCTCAAAGTATTTTCTCCATAAATATTAATGGTATTTTATTCTTCATTGCTTATTAGGTAGATAAAAACACTTTAAGTCCATAAATAAGGAAACATGTAGTGCGGACATTAATACACATCAAAAATCAAACATTCAAGTTATATAAAGTACTTTTATTATTTTCAACGGACTTCCTCAAAAAAGAGGAGGTTCTCAATTCGGTTTAAAAGTGTATATATACTTCCAGATTGATCGCATTTAAATTTTAAAAAAATACCACCCCTATGGGTGGAAAAATAGCAAATGATGAATTTACCTATCAAATAATACTTAATCAAATAATTTCATAGTCGATGCCAGCCGATACAAATCAAAGCACACCGACTTCGAAAATATTTGATTAGGTATGTATAGTAAATGAAAACTACCAATCAGTTATTTTTTACTTTTTAGTGCGTTTGTTTGAAGTCGGTTTTTATTTTTTTCTTAAAAAGTTTTTATGTTTATACAAGACATTTTAAAAACTCAAAACATTCATTGACTTATACAATATCAAAGTTACAAATAATCTAAAGATTCCATACTACAATAATAATAACCGGTTCCATTAACATACAATTGTAGGTACCTCGCGGTGGGAAAAATCGAATCTATAGGTATTCAAGGTAATTTAATAAGGAAATAAAACAAAGTTGGAACAACATGTATTACGTTAGGATAATATATAAACACCCATGACTGGAGTACAAATATTCGTGCTCATCAGACAAATGAATGCCCCCAGCGAGACTCGAACCCGCGACACTACAAACTGAGCCAAACATGACGTCAAATAAAAGTGAAAGAAAGGTCAATCTCTATTAAATTATACCCATTTGATTGAAAGTCATTTGAATGGTATCATGTTTCGTGTATAATATTGTTTGTATGTATATAATGCATCTATTTATAATAATGTATTTTTAAAGTCATGGTCAGGTCAGGTTTTCATAACCTTCACCTTTACATTACTAAGCACTTATTTTTAATCATAAACATATAAGGAAAGTCATTTGATTATAATCTATTTTTATAAAGCACTCGTTTTTTAACCCCCCCACGCAAAAAGAGGGTTGTTATAAGTTTGACGTCGATGTCTGTCTGTGTGTGTGTGTCTGTCTGTGCCATCGTAGCTCTCAAACGGATGTTTTTTTCATTTGAAAGCCAGTTTCCTTGCGGTGGTTCTTAGCTATGTTTAGTTAATATCGGTCCAGCAGTGTAAGAGTATCAGCTCTTTTCCAAAACGATGTAAGGCATTTTGGCGTATGATTACTCGATTAAGTGCTTCACGCGTGCCAGTGTAATCGTTAAATGACAATTAATTTGCGTAGGGTGTTTTTTTTTAATTTTTAATTTATAATTATACTCGAGACTTTGCTCGCGTGATAAAAGATTCAATATATATAATATTTTTGATTGCTCTATACATATACATATCATATTGTTTCAGAATAGATCCAGTGCAATATGAATATTAGTCACATCATATTATTACCTGGTAGTTTAATTGCTGCATTATTCTTTTTCAATTACTGTACAGGTAAGATAATAAATAAATAAATAAAATAGCCTTTATTAACTTACTACTTTCGTTAACATTTTTCTTTCTTTTGAACACAACTACTTATACAGATCTTTGGGACTTTTTGTATGTGTATTTGTAAATGTTTTTACTTATCTATATAAAACTATATGACTATCTATATATCTAAATAACTATATGTGTACTAACTTTTGTAAATCTATATTTCTATATCTATATGTGTATGTAGCATAAAATAATATTCAGTATATATTAGTAGTAGTCGCCTCTGCGGCGTAGGCCTCTCCTAAACCTTTCCAAACATCTCTTTCCCGAGCCTTTTGCATCCAGTCATTACCACACCTGTGTCTGTAAATGTCTCTCCATCTTTTATTAGGTCTCCCTACTCTCCTTTTCCTGTCCCTTGGTATCCACTCTGTTAAACGTTTTGTCCATCTATTGTTCATTCTGCAAACATGCCCTGCCCATTGCCAATTTAGTAATCGAATTCTTTTCCTTACATCTATTATTTTTGTTTTGTTTCTGATGTCACTGTTGTGAATTTTGTCTGATAATTTTATAGTATATGTACAGGTGAGATAACTTTCTTTTACTTCGACCTATTAAACTGGTGGTTCTCGAACTTTTTTCTAAATTAAAAGTATTCTTTAGAAGCTTTCTAAGGGCCTTTGTACCCGACGACATTTTATCGTGTCGTCGACGTCCGCTTCACAATTACATGTCGCCTATTCGCTCGTATTCTGCGCTTTAAAAGGACATACATATATTATGTACACACCAGGTTCGATAAAATCGCTGATGACGCGTACAGCGTTTTCGACAGACAGACAGACGGTCGGCGCGTTAAAAAGTCGTCGTGTGTATAAGGCCTTAGGTTTAAAATAATAATAAAATTGAAGCGTTTATCTATGGTTTTAAAATAACTATCCAATATTAATCTGATATAATCATCATATCAAAATTCAAACAAGAGATAGAAAATATTTGTCTATTTGTCGTTAATCCCCAGAATGTCTGAACAAATTTTTACGGTATTTCTTATATAGATATTTCAGGAAAAAGCAATATTTTTATTCTTAAATGGAAGCTTTGACATTGAAACATAAGAAACTTTATTCCGTTAAAAGGAACACATATGTATATGTTAGTAAAGGAATTAAAGATGAGGTTTTTTGTTATTTAGGTGTATTCCTTCCAAATTTATCAGAGGCCTGTTATAAATGCCTCTGCTATGTCTCAACCCGCTGCGACCTGTCTCACGAATGCACCAAGGGGTACTGCGGGCCCTACAATATATCCAGGGTATATTGGGTTGATGCTGGCATGGTAACGCTACCTCATGACGATCCTGAAAGAAATCATGGCAAGTTAAAATTTAACTATTATGCATGAAACTCTATATTAGGGTTCCGTATGTTAAATCTTTTTGGAGAGCAGGACAGATAAATCCCATACATAACACTACTAATTTTTCAATTCTCTAACTGCTTTTGAGAATATATTGCCAGAAAATTGATGTGAAGACCTTTTAATCTATGGCCATAGCGGTAAATGCAATAAGCTGTAATAAAATCAGCCATGAAACAAAAACAACCACGTAGTATTGAGACGCGTTAGTTAGATGGTCAGATGGTGAACGGGTTCAGACATTTTGTCATCCGCAAATCTATTATCACTGTACAGTACATTTATCGCTTCCGGTAACCTCTTCATATATAACGGCAAATTAACAATGTTTAGAACTTTACGGTTGCTTATTACAATAAAAAGATTGGATGATTTTTCATGACTTTTGGAAAAAGAAAATTTTGTATATTTTGAAAATTAAGTCATGTACAACACACACATTGTGTTTGTTACTCCTCATATAATACACAGATAGTGTATAGCCTGGAGTTACAAATAGACTCTCAGGTGCCTCGGCTTACATCCGAGCGAAGAGAGGGTAAATCACTAGTATTAATAAAAACTATTGGATGTCTTACCATGAAACAACTTATTTATCATACTTTCATTTTAATTGATTGGGTAGTTCCGACAACTCCAGTCTCCACCCAATGTGGTTACATTTAACGTTAAATATGAGGACAGTTGCAAACAAATTAAAAACACAACCGACTGCGAAGCCGCAGAAGGGCAGAAACTAATGGTTAATGAACCCACACTTTATACGATTATGTCATAGATTACACATCAATATCCTATTATAGTGCCCCATTGATTGTGGAATCGCTATAAACTCTGACTATTTTAATTATTTAGTCTAACATGTGACTATATATGTAGCTATTCTGTTTCAACGAAAATGGCAAACAAATTTTGTTCTTTTTACTATATATTAGAAGGTTCTGAGAACTAAAATTACTATATTCTAGATAAGTAAATAAATATGTTAGGACATTAACACACTGCACCATCTAGTTCCATGGTAAGCTATGAGGCTTCTGTGATGGATACCAGATAGTTGATACACTACACATATATAACTTTAAATAGATATATATTAGAAATATAAACATCCATGATTGGATTACAAACATTTGTGCTCATAACACAAATAAATGCCCCCAGCGGGACTCGAACCTGCGACCGTTGGCACAGCAAGTAGGGTTACAAGCTGAGCCAAACGTGTCGTTTGATGTTTGATTATTTACAATATACTAGATGTTTTATTACTTTTACGTGAGAAAAATTAAATTTTCAGCTCCACTACCAGTACGGTTGCCTTCATTTTACTTCACTTCTTTTTCCTTTAATTTTAGAAAACTCGTAGTGCGTTCCCTGGACGACTATCGCAACTTCAAACATATACATATGTAGGTATCTACGTAAAACAAAAGAACATACTAATAAAACACTTTCTAAAGTGTTCAGACAGTGACGATTTTTTTCTATAAAATATTTTGTCTCCTTACTTAAGATGTCAATAGCTTGTTAATCGTCCTTATCATGAATTGATATCATAAGAAAGGTTCAAACCATGAACGAGTTAGGTAATTCGTTCATGGTTCAAACGTATAGCATGTCTAATGTAAAGACGGTCTAGTCCCAACTATGCAACAATATTTTTAGTAGTTAATTCATTTTTTTTAAATAAAAAGAAATCATTCACAAACAGAAGAAAAATATATTCTGAACTGTTTTGTTTTGCCTATTTATAGTATATAGATAGGTGTATAGACTAATAATCTTATAGATAAAATGAATACTATATGACACACGCCACGCACATATACTCGTATCTACCATGTAATCATATAAGACCTGAACTTCGACTTTAATGTTATATTACCGGACGGATCATGATAGATTAATATTACCCATTATATACCATTAAAGACAAAATTTGTAATTCTTTGTAAGAGCAATTCTTGTATATATATCAGCGATCTCGAAAACGGCTCTAACGATTTCGCTGAAATCTGGTTTGTGGGGTTTTTGGGGGCTAAAAATAGATCTAGGTCAGTCTTAGTCTGGAAAAACGTGTGTTTTCGAGTTTTCATGCGGTTTTCTTTAAAAATGGTCCACGCAAAATATGGTCACTTATTTCGCATGCTCGGGCAAAAGCATCGTGGTCAACTGGCCAAGGCGCAAGATTGACAATCATAGATGTCCGGGTTCGAGTCCCGGTCGGATGCAAAGTTTATACTTTTGTTTCTTTTGGATAAGTATTTCGTACACACTTCGAGTAAGTCCTTTTGTAAATATGTACAAGTATACTTTTTTCCTTTCGCTTGTATTTTAGAACCCTCTATTTCCATACAGAAAACCATATCAATCTTAAGTGTCTGTTTTAATATAACGTATTTTCTTTGAGCATGATATTTTAGCGACGCAAAAGTTACGTATGTTACTTTCCCTATCACATCAATTGGTCGCCCCATTATGTTATAACAGTAAGACAAACAAACGAACACACAATATAAGCCGACATACTTGCTCTACACCGTCTCCCCCTATTGTATTTTGGCGGCTCAATAATTTAAAATATATATCTAAAAAGTTGTATTGAAATTAAAAAACAATGCCATAAGCCTAAAGCTTTATATTCTGGGACTTAACAACTTACTTTCACAAACAGTTTCAACCATAAACAGAGTTCGAAGACACATATATGTGTTTATTTCTAAAATATAAATTTTTGTCTGTTAATTAACTAATCTATATTATGAACAAAAAAATAACACCGCGAGCTGAAACCGAAATCGGTCGAATAATTAAATGTAAAATTTACGAATGACCGCCTTTATAAACACTGAAAAGGATTTCCAATGCATTAGTCATTGCGATGCAATATGAAACAACTGTCAAATGCACTGTTTTTGCCATCCATAGTAATATTATAAATGTGAAAGTGTGTTAGTTTGTTTGTTTGTCTTTCTTTCACGTCGAAACGGAGTGACGAATTGGCATGATTTTTTGGCTAATAGGCTACTTTTTACCGCGGGAGATTATCTAATTCCCACGGGGAAACATGTTATAATACAATTCAAAAATAATATGTATGATCAAAATTACTTGATACTTGGTGTTAATACTCATCAATAAAATTAAATAAATACGTGTACATTTTTCGAAATTCATCCTTTAAGAGCGTGAAATAGGGGATGAAAGTTTGTATGAAACTACCTTTTTAAAGATTTTTCGTAGTTTTAACGCGATCGAAGATAGTTGTTAAATAAATACGCTTTAGTATTTGTAACAATACACACACTGAAGTCATTGGAAAGTATTTTTCGAAATTCGAAATTAGAACACTCAGGCATTTATATAAATGGTAAGAGGCTAAAACATCTGAGATTTGCTGACGATATAATGTTGTTAGAAGAATCCCCCAGTATTCTAGAGCAAATGATAAGAGAATTATCTCAAGAAACCAATAAATTCGGCTTAATAATGAACGGAAACAAAACAAAACTTTTGACTAATAGCTTACAAATAGAGAGGAATGTAATGACGAATTTTTCGAGTACATTTTAATGTCTACTTAGGGCAAATTATATAATTTAAAAATCAAATGACAAAAAATTAGTAAAATAAAAATTATGGAAATAGAATGGGACACAATGAAAAACAACGATTTTGGCATATCTATAATGAAGGTATTAAATATAAGCAAACTTCCTAGTTTAAAAAAAAGCCTCGTTTTTAAAGTAGGAATCACAGGAGTTGCATTGCATATGTAAATTTATGACTAAGTATAATTCAGTAGATTTATATTCAGGCTTAAAAAATACAAAAGTAAATAGTAGGTATATTTAATTTATTAAAATAAAACATTTATTATGCGACCTTAGCCGAACCACGAATGGTATACATATTAAAAAAGCACGTTAATTTGTTTTCCCACGCTTAGAAAAAGTCCGTGCTCGGAGCCACTCAGGGGCGATGAATTAGTTATAATGCTATAATTGTAAGTAAGCAACGGCAAAAAAACACTTTTCTGTTTTACGTTTTAGGTTATATTAAATCTTTTTGGAGAGCAGGACAGATAAATCCCATACATAACACCACTAATTTTTCAATTCACAAACTGCTTTTGAGAATATATTGCCAGAAAATTGATGTGAAGACCTTTTAATCTATGGCCATAGCGGTAAATGCAATAAGCTGTAATAAAATCAGCCATGAAACAAAAACAACCACGTAGTATTGAGACGCGTTAGTTAGATGGTCAGATGGTGAACGGGTTCAGACATTTTGTCATCCGCAAATCTATTATCACTGTACAGTACATTTATCGCTTCCGGTAACCTCTTCATATATAACGGCAAATTAACAATGTTTAGAACTTTACGGTTGCTTATTACAATAAAAAGATTGGATGACTTTTCATGACTTTTGGAAAAAGAAAATTTTGTATATTTTGAAAATTAAGTCATGTACAACACACACATTGTGTTTGTTACTCCTCATATAATACACAGATAGTGTATAGCCTGGAGTTACAAATAGACTCTCAGGTGCCTCGGCTTACATCCGAGCGAAGAGAGGGTAAATCACTAGTATAAATAAAAACTATTGGATATCTTACCATGAAACAACTTATTTATCATACTTTCATTTTAATTGATTGGGTAGTTCCGACAACTCCAGTCTCCACCCAATGTGGTTACATTTAACGTTAAATATGAGGACAGTTGCAAACAAATTAAAAACACAACCGACTGCGAAGCCGCAGAAGGGCAGAAACTAATGGTTAATGAACCCACACTTTATACGATTATGTCATAGATTACACATCAATATCCTATTATAGTGCCCCATTGATTGTGGAATCGCTATAAACTCTGACTATTTTAATTATTTAGTCTAACATGTGACTATATATGTAGCTATTCTGTTTCAACGAAAATGGCAAAC